CTCCTTTAAGACTAAATTATTCTATTTATTCATTTCTTTTGATAGAAATTATTCGAAACCAAGGTACAAGTGGCGGTGCTATTTCTGGTGATACTTGTCTTGTCAAGTTCATCCACTACAGCTAATCGTATTTGTAAGTGTGCGCAGCAAAGTAAGGATTCTTCCTCTAAAAAGGTATGTTTTCATTTCCGGTTCTTTTTATCGATAACTCTGAGATTCGAAACTAACCTGTGTATGAGAGCCCTCTTCCCGGGTCGCGTAAAAATGTTTCCACTTCCTCTGCGCCCCACTAGCATACTATTTAAACTTATCAGGTAAGCTGTCATTTTTTTTCCACAAGGTCGTGGATTTCACTGTTCACATCAGCGAGGCAGGGAAGAAATACAACGAGACGATCGAGGTGGACCCAAACAAGCGAACAGAATTGTTTGAAGTTCCCGCTCATCCTGGAGTGGATCGCAGTGATGTCTTACACGATTTCAAACAAGTACGTTTTGCTAACTATGTACACAATTCTTTGTGTACGCCTTAGAAAACTATTTTTCCATCTTTTACGTCAATGCTCATTTTATAATTAAACAAACTGATCATACTTGTAATTTCTGTTTTCATACTGGCCCTTTTCGCACGATATAAAATTAAGCACTTACCTAAATTTTGCTCAATTTGGTCCGGCTACAATTTCTAAAATCGTTTATGGATGAGTGATGGGTGATAGTGGCGAAGTCAAAAGCGAACTGCCTTGCAGAGGAAATAATTGTTTTAACTGACATTTAAATATCACCTTTAACCCTTGATGACTGTTGACTTAGATTCTGTTTGCTTTATGCGTTACTTTAAATTTACCCTAAGATAACAATTTTAAACCCCAGCTCTGATAGGGTACAAAAGACTTATGCTAGTCAGATCCTATACAAATTTCTATTGTTTTGGCTTATCGATACAGAATCTGACCATGATGCGTTTCCCGGATAGCAATGTTTGCTATCTTCTCCCTCTTCTAAACGAGGAATCTGCACCTGCGAAACTCATAAGAGATCTTGAGAAGGCCAGTGAGGTGAGAACAAGAAATCTATTTTAATAATGTTTCTGTTAAAACTCGTGGAGAATCTTCGTTCATTCTTATATATTCTTATTCATTCTCTCTTCCATCTTAATTTTCTTACAGGAGATACGTCACGGTTTTCGCATCTTGAAAAGTTTTTCAAGTTCGCCAATCTTCTCCATCGTTAACCATTTTTGCTCCTTTACGGTTTATTATTATCTTCCAGTAAGCTACTATTTGCAGGTTTCATTTAATTTAAAGGCAATTTTGTACATGGTGTAGCCCCTTTAAAAAAAGCTCCAGTCTTTTATTTCTGGCCCATGTCTTGTTTTTAACACGCTCTTCACACTTATTTATTTTCCGTTCATTCCATCAGATGGTTATTACAGAGACCAGGCGGGTTGATACCACGTGGATTATTGGCAGTGAGGTGACTGATCGTTCTGTACTCAGCGATGAGTTAGCGCAATTTTGTGCAAAGTATCAAATATATCACGTGAAAAAGGCTCCGGACTCGCTGGCTGCGACAAGAATCAAAACAGAAGGTGAGAAGATATAGAGAAATATATTTTGTCCCGGCGAAACGCCCATCCATTTTCTTATAAGAAAACCCCGTTAATACGGTCACCCCGTTAATATGGCCAACCACCGCATTCTGAAATCCCAGCCTGTGTAATCTTTTATAATTTTACCCGGTTTATGCGGCCACTCGAATCAATTATGCTCATCTTTCTATTGTTAATATTTTATACGCTAATCAAGTTTCAATTTTTTTTGAAATTATACCCTCCTTCCGGATGCTTATTGAAGAACAGTTGTTTAGACATCCAAATGTAGTAAGTCTGTTAAGATGTCACTCAATTTAGACCAGTCACGAGGTTTGATCCTACCCCGTTAACACGGCCACGGATTTTCATGGCCCGTTGGTGACCGGATTAACGGGGTTCTACTGTTTGGATTCAATTTCTGTCTATATGCCTACTGAGCATGATGTCTTCTCTACGCATGCGCATAGTCGCTAGCTAATGAGGCACTGTAAACATGCAATGCAGAGCCGTAGCCAGGAAAAAACTATGACCGAGGCAATTTCCACTGTTAAATTCTCTTTTTAGGCATTAATGGTATTTTTAGGGTATTTAGGATGCCTATAAACAACTAGCGCAAAAAACCAATGACTGAGGCAAGTGCCTCGGTTTGCTTGTTACCAGCCACGGCACTGTAATGGAGTCAGCAAACAAATTTCTTCTGTATCCGATGACTTTAATTTTCAGACCTCTTCGCCAAATGATTTAATATGTTATTTAAATCTTTTGTTCTTGTACAGAAAATACAAACCGAAAGCGGAGACAGTCAAATGGTATCAATACATTAAGCTCTGGTGGCATGACCCTCAGTACAGCTTACCAGTATTGTTCCAATCCTAAACTCAAGTGTAGGGTGACCGGCCGGACCTGCTACAAGTACGTAATTTGCGATGTTGGTGGTCCTAACCATCCACCGCCACCATATCTCCGGCCACAGCTGAATGTCGTTGTAAACAGCGCGGGCAATCTTTGTCGGCAAGAGCACATTTGGAGAGCAATCGTACGCTGTGAGTATATTTGCAGCTCATTAAATGCACTGCCACTGCAGTACCTCCTTAGGAACTAAAAAACCACTTATTTGTGAATTAATCTAAAGTGACTTCAATAAGTCCTAGCTTAGATGATGCATGATCCCTGAAATACTTGAGCGTCTAATTGCTCATTGCTTTCCAGCTAGATTTTTATTGCTTTGTTGCGGGAGTTTGCAAAACTGATCCTTTTTTTCAAATTTCAAACCAATTCTGTTCTGAGAATGTTATTGATTTGTATTCACATTTTTAATTACAAGATCAATATGAAAATTTTACTTATACTGTGTTCATATATTTTCCATAATACTTTTTTCGGATAATTTGGTTTTCCCTCAAGACGAGAGAAGATCGTAAATTCTCCTAACTAACAGAACTGAATTAGTTATTAGCAGAAAAGGAGAAGATAGGAGTTGAAATTGGCCATAAGAACTAACCATGAACACATGGCGCGATGTTGATAATGACATCAAACGTGACGTGACTGGCCACCAAACTTTAGATTTGGCCAAGCGAAACAAGATAAAGAACACAAACAATGCTCCCGCTAGTTCGAAAAACGACAGAAGTGGGGCCAACTAACAAGAACGAATGAAAACGAGTGAGCTTGTTAAAGAAAACCGTGCTTAATTAGTGATTGGTGACTAAGATAGCGCTCACACAAATTTAACTCATGGCACTTATCTACAAACTAAACTCATTTCTTGTCGCCCGCTATGGGTGCAAAAATTCACCAGACACACCTTCAAACTGGTTTGTTGTCCAGCCACCTGACGATTGATGCTCATTTTGCGTCACGTGTTCATGCCTAGTTGCGCCTCTGAAAACTGTATATCAAGCCTTTTTGTATTTGTTTAGATCTAAATTTTGCTTTGTAGCTAAAGTTTTTTTTTTTTTCGTTAAATGAGCCAACACGAATGCTTTTACATTTGTGAACTCGATAATGACACTGGCGTACAGAGAGATTGTTAAAATTAGATGTTATAATTGATCAGATGTTAAAATTGACAGTTTTATACCCAGGATCTCTCTACTTTCCGTCCCATGACGCTCTCGGGGCGGGAGGAAGAGAGATCCTGGGAACAAGGTTGGGAAACGGTAATGGAAGTTATTATATGACTTCGTGTAAAGAGAAACAAAGTGACCAATTATCACCATAGGGTCGATTAAGTTTTAAAAGTTGTCTACATATACATGGCTGCGGCGCATCATTGTTTGTAATAGTCAAACCTGGCTTACCGCAATATGGATGGCCGTTTAAAGAGAGTCCGTATATACGCCTCATTTTAGCTATAAAGTCTATAACTCGCCAGGGCGGGGTTTCCCAAAAGCCGATTATACTAGTTGAGGATAATCGTTAATCAAGGTTTCAATCTCTCTGTATGAAAGTTTTTTTTCCAAAGGTAATGTTTTAGGGTTCCAGATTAACCATCTTCAAAACTGGAGTACGGGATATAAACTTTGAAAAGATGTATAAAAACCGAGATGTAAACCAGGTCTAACTTAGACTTGCTGACATTGTCGGCTCTATAACTAAATTTTAAATTTTTCGTATTCCAGAAATGCATGACTTTTATAGACTGTTTTACGACGAGCGATCAAAAGTACAATTTGTACTAGTTTGATTGCAATTTTTCAGTTGTATTGTTAGGATTTGTTGTATCAGTAGTGTCAGTTAAGTTTAAATTTGAATGCAGGTTTTCACTAGTGCATAAACATAAGCAATATTTACGGGCACAGTGAGGTAAGATGCTGATAGCTATAGCGACTATTGTTTGGAAAATTTCCTGGCAAAAAGCGGCACTGACTATGTCAGCCTGTTTTGTTTTTGCTTATGCACAAGAGAAGACCAGTCTTAGGTGCCTTCAGGAGCCAAATCGGGGAATCTGTCCCCTATTACGGCTCCTGGTGCCTTTTTATATAATAAGTGCTGTGTAACATTTTGCTTTTAATTATAAAGAATGCCTTATAAGAAAAGACTCTTGTTTGATTGTCAGTGATATAGATGTTAACTCTTGTTCCTAAAAGTAAACTCTAAAGAAACTGTCCTCTTCGTTGTCAGACAAACTGCACTTAGAAAATTCGTTTACGTTTCAAACAACTGCGAAACGACAACAGGAGTTGAATGAAATATGTTGTGGGAATTACTCTCGTACAGCTTGAAACTGTCGTGTGTTTTTGACCTGTTTTCAGTGGTTGCCATGTTGACCAATTCAAGTTTTCTTGGAAAATTTCTCCTATTTATTTCTCGTTCGCTGAGTGTTTCCATCTTTTCTAGATTTCTAGATCGCCAAGTGCATCGTTTTCCCGTATGATAGAGCTTCTCCTTGAATCGAAGAGAACAAAAACAAACTTAAAAGCACAAAGTCCAAAACATTGCAAACAATGGTTAATGACACTTGGCGCTCAAATGGCTTCCTTACGTCACTCTTAAGTCATTACTGCACGCGGAGTCTTGATAAGGTGTGATAATTCAACAACAAAGGGATTAGTGAATGGATTATTACACTGTCTCTTGAGTTCGTCACCAAATTTAATTAGACTGTCTTAGAATAGAACCCTTATACTACAGCTTAAAAACGTATTTGCGATGCATTAGTTGTGCGTTTCTTTGGTTACGTTTATTTACTGATGTGAATTTTAAAAGAATGTAAAAGATACCGACTTTCGACAGGAAATGCGTCTCTCACCGAGTTTCATACCAGATGCTTTAACACAAACACACTTAGACGTCTCTGTATGCAAAATGGTTTAATCAACAACTTCTTCAATGGCTTCACGCTCCAAGTTTAATAATACCACCAAGCTGGGATTAAAATACCATTTAGGGTTGAATAATAAATTAGGCTGCTCTAAGTTCTGAGATATCTCTTGTTAAAATGATCAAGCTTTAAGTTTCTATTCACACCTAGCTCTTAACCAGTCATTCGTTCATTCCTCAAAGAGAAGTTGTCTGGAGCTGACAGAGTATCGTCCATAGAATTGTGAATAGCTGTTGTTTGAATCATCAAAGGTCTCTGCTGTAAGTTTTATAAGGCATGTATTTGTCTATTTTTCCAATGCAACTGGAGCGCAACAGCTTTCGATTTCCTTGAAAGGCCGGAAACGTGCACTCGGAAATTTGTCTGGCAAACTAAATATCCTGAATTTATTCCCCTTAATCAGGCGTCTTTGATTTGTTTTGTTTTATAAGAAAGCACGGTCAACGAATTAGAAAAGGTAGAACAGAAAGTTTCGCGAAATATTAGTTGATATAAAACTCAAGTGAAACTCTTTTATTTCGAAGTGATAAGACAAGGAAGGAGGTAAATGAGTTTTACAAAGTGAACGACTAACGTACATTGAACGAAGAACACTTTACAGATAAACAGGAACCTCTTGAATAAGTTAAAAGCTTAACAGTCGGAAAGGAAGCAATAAACATTCCACGAAGAGCTTTTTAGAGGCTTTTTTTTTAATTCTGCTCAATTCACTTCGACATTGAATGGCTTCATACTATGACTCTACAATTCCACTTCAATATTTTACACATTAGTTGACTCTAGTCGCTATTTACAAAGTTGCTCAATCTGCGACCGGCAGTGAGTCGTTTTCAAAAGAACACTTACAGTACCTAAAGAGATATGGGGCCATTGACTTACATGATTGTAAAGCGTGGACTGAAAATCTTCGCTTTGAGAAACAATAAATATTTGAACCATTAGCTTTTCAGCTAATTTTACAAACTACAATTGCATACCTAATTTTACATGTATTTGTTGAAACAAATTTTCGCAATATTTTGCATATAATTGCTGCCGGACAACTGCCACATCCAGATTGCGGCTGGTTCAGGATGGCCGTTCTCTCTTTAATAACTTGACGTTTTCAAACGACAATAATTTAACTGTGAGCTCAAAAGGAGGGAAATAAGTTCGAGGTTCTTCACGCAGTACGTCTTTTTTCTTGCTTTTTGCTTGAATTAAAGTAAATATTTCTCAGCCTTTGTTGTTATTTCGCTCCCTTTCAGCTTGCCTTTGAAAAGCGGTCTTCGCAGCACATGTATTCAGAGACTTCTGAGAATAGATAAACGTATCGCTTCAAACGGAACAAAAGAAATAGCTTTAAACTAAGTTTCTCTCGGTACAACCAACAATTTGAGAAATTCATTCGGCCGATTTTAGGCGTAATTATTTGGTAGGAGCCAAGCTCTTTCTTCTTTCCTCCGGCGAATACTTCACTAACATCTCGATTAAGTCAAAGTCGTCAGTTAAATCGACGGGGAATTCGCCACTGGCGTTGCTTATGTCTGGATTCGCTCCGCTTCGGAGAAGAAACTTCGTTACAGCAATGTTACCAGCTCGCACGCTGTGATGAAGCGACGTACTACCTTCTTCATCTTTCATGTTCACATCGGCTCCAAGGGTGACCAACATTCGAATGCATTTTAAGTTTCCGTCCTTAACAAGCTGATGAAAAGCCGGGTTGCTTTTACCGCCTTCTGTGTTTACTAACAGTTCTGGATCCACGCTGGGGCGTTTCAAAAACTGGCACATCTCAGAAGGGTCGCCATCTTTGACCATGTCGTGAAACACTAAGTCATGAGGGAATTTCACTCTGCGATCCATGATCTCTTTAATGGCTGTGTGGCTTGGCATCAAAAAGCTCTCCTGTCTAAGAATTGCAGAAATGACTTAAATATAATGTTTCTTGGTCCGAACTTGCCTTTTACTTTCCTCTTCAGGCTCGCTTGAATGTCGCACTCGCAATCTGTTTGTGTATGTCTATCCGATCGGGGGTGAAAAATACTTTGTATTCGATATCTGAAGAGTTTACTTTCGAACGGAAGACAGTAGAACTCTTTTATTATATTTTTCCAAACACTATAACACTAACTGAAAGCTAATTGGTTGGTTTATGGAGTCTGTTTACAAAAGTCTATTATACGTGATTGACAAATTATTTCCTTACGTAATATCAAAGTCGAACAACGATTTAATCAACGGGTGTGACGTCAAAGTGTCAGAAAACAAAATGCAATTTCCAAATCTTTTTGAGAGCGGAACAGCGAAAAAGAGCTAAAAATAACAGATAATGTTACAGTTGGACGAAATACACTTCACAAAGCACTTCAAATCTATTTCTACGTCGGCAAATTTACACTCGCCTTCCGGAGTTGGCAAAAACTGCTGATCTCAGAATGACGAATTCAAACATGGCATATTTTTTTAATTTAATCCTGCCAGAGCTCTATCTGCGTCTTTTATCGTCAATCTTTATTTTAAGACCGGCTAACTAAACAAAATTAAACCAGAGCTGAATTACACGAGTAAAACAAATCCGCTTTTCTTACGTCTTAGTGTAATTTGCCATTACGTAAATGGGATTTTTTCAAGTGCGAAAGAGATTAGTTTCATCGGCGATGCGCAGAGCTGATAGCCTTAACAATGACACCTTTGCGATCAATATTAAAACACTAATAAGAGGCTTAACCCCGTCAAGTCTCGAGGTCGAGAATATGAACAATCTTTGCGAGTATAGGATGAATAGATTTTGTTACAGCGCGCAAACGTTGTTTGTTCTAAGGCTGACACTTACAGAAGTGAAAACTATGCAAGTAATCTCTGACCTCAAATGAAGTAGAGTTGTTGGAATTTTATGCTTCAATCCTTGATAACAGAATACTCAACAGAGAGCCATGTAAACAGTTTTACACCACTTTAACAGAAAACTAGCTACGCAGACGAAGGGACGATCTGTGACAAGCTACTAGCTAGCTTTCAATCTTAGTCTGGGAAAAAAATAGATACATGGATCAGATTTTGTTTCCATTCTGAGAATGTGGTACGTACATCCTGAGTTGATTATTTTCTTTATCCTCATCACGTCTCCTCAACAATGTACTAATATTGTAGGAAGAAATTGTATGTTGATCAATCTTGAGAAGAACTGAATGAACGTTTCAACATCAGTGGTGTTTGAACAATCAACCTAGCACATGCGTTACCATGGAAACTAACAAGCGTGGATTCAGCTGAACACGTGCACTGTTTCACGTTAGTTGAGCTGTGGGCAAAATTACTTACACGTACGTTGACTGCGCATGCGTGCACTTCGACAGAACAAGAAACAAAGTGTCTGATTACATGCAGCACGCGCTGATCACGCCTACAAATACAGTCGAACCCCCCCATTCGGACACCTCTCTAATACGGACACCTCGGCTCTAATAAGGACACCTCGCTAATACGGACATTTCCTCTATAAAACCTCTATAATACGGGCCCTCTCTAAAACGGACAACCGACACTAAATCTCGGCCCTGAGGAGCAAATTCATACAAATTTAACCTCTTAATTACGGACACTCCGGGGACCAGGTGTCGATAATTTGCAGTATGTACCATTTCCTGTCAGTGGTTACACAAACATTGACACTAATTGATACCAATACCAGAACATGTCAAAATATTAGTTTTCAAAACTTACATTTACAAATGCAAATACAGTACAGTGTACAATAAAGTTAATCAATTTAGATTCAGAAATTCACAAGACACTCACTTTTGGGCCTATTTAGTTACTGAACACTCTAAACTGTCAGTGGACACTTAAAAAGTGACGTCATCTTAGTGTCCTCTCCAATACGGACACCTCTCTAATACGGACACCTCTCTAATACGGACACTTCGCTCTGTCCCTTCGGTGTCCGTTTTAGAGACGTTCGACTGTAGAGAGTCAAGAGAGAGGACTGTGGACTAGCTACCTTGATAACTTCATCAGGGCGAATGGGACTCTGATCCAGCTGAGGTTACCATCCCCCACCCCCCATGAAAATTATATGACATTGCTCCAACAATTTCCAAGTACTTGGTTCGCTGAATGATAAAGCCACAACAATAAATTGAGAGAACGTGTGATTTCTTTCCATTATTATCATACACGCATTTAACATACAAGGCGTAAAGAAGTTACTTTATTTTCATGCATAAGTCTTCCAAAAATCCCACCACCCGATAATTTAACTGACTGCGCTGTTGAATAAATAGTCTACAGACTATTCAGAGAATACGTGACCAAACCGATCGAAAACCAAACTACAACTTTCACAGCTGACAGCTAATACCGAGCTATAGCTGAACGATGCGGTACATGGTGTAAATAACCTCCGAAGTGTACAGTGCTGATAATGAATTTCTGATAATGTCTATTGCTAGCTTACGCAGCAAGCGTTTCCGTACACAAAGCTTTTTCCGCATTTTGGCCGCGCACGAATTGAAACAGCAAATTAATCGTTGATTTTTTTTTTTGCTCTCGCTCCAATTTGCGCGCAGCCACAATGCGGGAAAAGCTCTCAGCTAGGCAGGCTAGGCAGGCTAGGCTATTGCTGGCGCTAAGTGCGCTTTGTTTAATGTATCTAAAAAAAATTCCTGGCTGGTGCATTGGTTTGGCTGTGAAGTGATGGAAAATCAGTTCATGTGAACTCGGGCTCACTTAATTGAAGGAGTATTTTCGCTTTTTCCTAGGAAAGGCATTAACGTCACCGTCTTGCAATGAGATTCTAAAAGAAGAAGAATTTATATTTTAAGTTTGGAAATGTGACGATAGAAAGTATCACTCTAAATATGGGATAGGAAATATCTTTACATCTTTTTAGTACAAAAGACTTGCTCGGCATGTGTATAATTTGTTATGTTCATGTTATCACAAATTTGAAAGTCTGGTTCACAAACTAACTCGAGGCTTAACATAACAGTCACAGGGTGTCCATTGATGTAAGTGGCCTATAAATTTGATTTCAATAAATTATAAACTCTATGAACTCCCGTTTACGACAGGGAACTAAACGGGCGAGCTTGAGTCTCGTATCCAAAGAGAATTATGCAGTGTACGTCATTGTCATGGCAAGCATCTGGAATAATGGCTTTCGGAAGGGTATCGGCCATCGCGCTGCCTGGTGGAACCATCGTGCGTGTTACATGAAGTCAAACATGGGCATCAATGAATTTGCGTACGTCATAGGTTTTACGTCGGGGTGAGGCTGAGAACACAACAATGGAAAATATTTTTTTAAGTATGTGCGTTTGTTTTAATGGTAAAAAGAGATTCTCACTTTCTTGGGGGTGGGTTTGAACAGGATGAAAATACACAATAGATTCTTTGTCTTGCGCATAAAGTAAGTGTGCATACGGGACAAGTGTCCCATCAGACCGGCGCTTATCTATGGTTTCAGTAGCCTGAAGCGACTAGGAGTATTTCTACTCCCCCCTGGATGGGATGCTAGT